AATACATATAAAATACTATGTAATTGTTTATACAAATCCTTACAAAAAAATGTTAATTATATAGTAAAAGATTGCACTACCATTCTTTTCGCCGGAGACTGTATGTACTTATTAGCAACTCTTATTAAAGTGTCTTGAAAAAGGTCTCAATAAATATTTAAAGTGATTTAAAACTATGCTGTAAATGAGGAAATGCTTTTTAAGGTATAGTTATTTATGGAATAGTCAAGTTTATTTCTAAATTGGGTCCACTTTTTTGAATTTATCTTGCTGAAATTAAAAGATAATTTAGTAGAACATTTATAATTATTAGTAATAATCCTTAAAAAATTTAAATATTTGACAGAAATGATAAAATAGTCATAAATGTGTAAATCAATAGATAACATATTTGCTTTGAGTAAATTTAGAATTAGTTCTGAGATTATTCAAATGAAATCAATTTTTGATAATGCTTAGTTACAATAAAATATTATAAATTGCAAATGATTAGCATTATATAAAATAGTAAATGAGTCAAAAAGATTATAGTGATTCAGGGAATTAATAAATGAAATTATTTATATTAATTCTATTAATATTGATATTGAAATCTCTAAGAAAGATGATGTGATAATTAAATTTGATAGCTTCATTAAGAAGTTGGATAACATATCTAAGGATTTGATTAGAAATATTATCTTATTTTTTTCTGAAGAGATATAAATATTGATAACAAAGAGCTTTTATTTGTTAGTAAATTGTAGTTTTACATAAATAACTTGATTGAATTTAGAACTGTGTTAAAAGATATACTTCAAAAATTGAGTACTAAATGATAAACTAACGCTAAAACTAACAGATTGACTATCATAGTTTTTGCTGAAAAATTATTGATAATAAGAAAAGAAATTATTAAAATGTAACAAATTATTATATTTTCTTGTAAGCCTATATATTACAGTAGTAAATAGAGTAAAGTGAATAAAGTATGTTTTATTTGGTAGATTCATTAAGCTCTCTAACATTGTATGAGGTAATGATAAATTTTTTTGTATTATTAAAATAGAAAGGGTCAGTAAAGTTATTAGAATTATCTGTGAGAATAGTAATCATCAAAAAGATAATTTATTATGAGAAGCTGCTGATTTAGCATTCTGTTATTTTATCTAAATCTTTATTTAAGGGATCAAAAATATTTATATTATATTAGTAAGAAGATTTTTATTAATGAACACAGTTTGGAAATTATGATAAGTATGATAAGAAAGAATTCAAAGATTCGTTGCTATTATTTTTGACAGATTGCAATAAGTTATTTATTAGTTTATAATTGTAAGTATGTTATAGATGGAAATGTTAATGTAAGGAGATTTGAAATCAGTTTTAGTATCAGTATCAGGAAATGCATTATTATAAGTTTTAGCATCCTATAGAGTTGTAACTTTGATATTTAGTACTTTCTCTATAACTGATAAGCAGTTTTGTGAAAATTTTAATGTATTACAGGAAACTTTAAGAATATTAGCAATGGATTTTAATTAGATAATAACAAACTTTTTGAAATTAGAATCATAGAACCACCCACAGCAGTTCTATTATTTAATTTAAATGTTAGATACACTATATTATCAAATAAAGTTTCATTATCATTCATAGGTTTGTCACTCTACCTTGCAGTAAATATTTTATTTATATCTTAGTTGAATTGATAATAGATTTCTTAGGGGTTAGTGGGGGAGAAGATAGCTTATTATTAGTTTGAGAATGCTTAATATTGAAAATAGGTGAGTTAATTACATTAATGAAAGTGATATTATCTCTAACTGTGCTACTAAATTTTTTGAATGCAATATAGCCATTGAATTGAGCAGGCTGAAAGTATTAGTATAGATACTGAGTATTTCTATCTTTAGGTGTATTCTTTTTCTGAAATAAGAAGATACTTTATAGTATATAGATGAGCAATAGTACAAATCTTTATTTTTATACTAGTTTATTTCAGCTTTTTATTATTAAAAGTTAAGTTGTTTGGCATTAAGAGCTGCTTCAGTTTTATTAGTATTACAAAAATAGAAATACGTGTACTAAAGGTAATTATAATTTGATCTTACATATAGAATAATTCAAACTGTAGTGTTAACTATTCAACCAATATCTAAAAGGTCATGTGTAGTTGTTTCTTTTGGCAGATTTGTAAGTTTGATTGAGATTTAAATTGATTTTAGATTTTTTTCTTATTCAAGTTGCATATGTGAATTTGAATAGAATTATTGATTAATAATATGCTATCTATGCTTTTAAATTCTTCAAATTTAGCTTTTTCATCAAAGGTAATATTAGCATATTACCATATATTCTGGGTCTTTATAGTATATCTAATGATATTTCTGTATCAGAAAAAAATTTTTTTATTTGTATAATAGTAACATCTAATGAGATCTCAGTTAATATGATCAATTATTCAGGAATGAAGGGATGCAATTTTGTATGACAAGTGATAAGAATATGACCTTATCTATATTTAAAATCTGTACTTTATAAAGATCATCTCATTCACTAGAGTCTAAAAAGGCAATTTTAAGAATATTGATAGAAGAATCTGCTAGTAGTTTTTCATGTATTACATTTGTAAAGAATATGTAATCAAAATAATATTTTCTATAATCTCAGTGATCTTCTGTTAGAAGTTTGTATTAGGATGTATTTTAAGAGAAAAGTATACAAATTATTTCTTAGCGTTAAGAATAGGTGCAGCAAATGTAATAAAAGTATTGTCAATAATATTTTCTGATATGTTTAATAAATCATCAATGTTTATTATATTTTCTTTAAGAGGTAAATTAGCAGTTTCATCTGCTTTAATTTTTTCTTTATTAGCATTTTTAGTTAAACTTTTTACGAAGGAATTAACTTCTATAGTATTAGTGTTCTTAATAAAATTTATTCAGTAAATAATTTGGCAATTCTTGAGTAAGTTCAAAGTTAAGAGTTTGGGTAATACTTTGCATTTTGATTAGTTTTTTGTTTGAAAAAGATGATGCAAAATAACCACAATTGTTAGATTTTTGTTACTTTTTGGACATGTTGGTGATTAGCAGAAAGAATTTTTGATTGTCTTATCTATTTTATATTACTTTTACAAAATAAAATACAACTTTTATTTATAATAACTAGATTCATGATTATGGCTAGACAGGGATTAGCCTTAATTAATATTTGAAAGTAACATATATATTTTATTTAAAATTTTATAAATATTATTAATTTTACTGGTATATATAAAAATTATGATGTTTTATTAAATAGAAGATTAATCATTTTGATAAAAATTGTTGTAGTATAGCTGAATTAATTTATTTGCCTATAATATTATTAAGAAGTGGTATCACTAATCAAAATGCAAGAAAGAATTTTATATATATTTAATATATATTACGTATAATATATTTTCAGATAAAGAGATTTAAAGTTATGATAGGAAAATATTAATAAGCATATATTCAGAAAAAGAAAATATTAATAGCAATGGATATAAAGTTAAAATTAAAACTCCCATCTTATATCGTGAGTTTGTATTTCTAAAAAGGTTCTCTATATTATAAATAATTATTGCTAGAAAATAACTATTTGTTAATCTTAAAATATTATGAGGGATAGAAATGGATATTTTTATTAATAAAAAAGGAAGTACTAGGTTGAATTATATATTAAATAAATATGATAAGTATAGCTTATTATAAGGTATTATCTAATCTTTGAAGATTTTAGTATTTGCTGGTATTAAATGGGTTGAAACTTTTATCAAAAAAATATGATTCTACTAAACCTTCTTTCTTATTATTTATATATATTATTTATATTCAAGTTTTTTTTTAAATTAATTATTTTTAAATTTGTAATTAATCTTTCTAATCAGACAGTTAATCTTATATATGTGATTAAAATTTATAAATCATAAATGCATTTTTATATTCATTTGAAAAAAAAATTATAAAAATAACTTAGTATTAGTAAGAAGCTTGTATAATTTTTATCAGTTAGTTGTAAATATAATTTGGTAATACTATTCTTTGAACAGAACTATCTGGTTTATCAACATGTAGGGATAGATCGGTCCTGATAAGACCAGTCTTAGACCGGTTAATAGGACCGGTTCTTGCGATCCTTGGTCTATATTTTGAGGACCAGTCTGGACTAGTCTTTTATTATTTATACATATTATTTTAAATTTTATAAATACTAAATAGATTGTTTTATTTATAAAATATTACAA